AACTGCTGCAAAAAAAAACAACACCCTCATGCTGGATGTAATGAGCGCCGCATCTTTTAGCAATGTGCTGAACATCTTCACAATTACAGGGAGCTCTGCAGGTTCATAATATTTACATGCTATTACGACTCTGTGCCTTCCAGCTATGCCGCCTTTTGTTGCGAGGAAGCTATCTGTGTCCATGCAAAAATGTCAACGTCTGGGATCAGCAGAAATTTGCTGCCTGCTTAACTCTCTCCTGTCCTTTCACCAGGACAGCCTTCGTTGGCTGTAACTACAAGCAGAAGGCTGCTCTTCTCTCAATAATGGGCAGATTGACAAGCCCGTGGAGGTTTGTAACCGACAACAATCCTCCCAGGCACGCTGAACGGCGCGGGCATGTCTCTCCCGATGCTGTAGCATGCGCCCTCTGTTGCAAGGAGACTCTGCGATTAGCTGGAAATCCATTCCTGACATAATAATTGCTGTCAAATTAGAGGCAACCACCAACAATTATGATGAGTGCTGACAGGTGAAGTGCGCTCATCTCCCAAACAACGCACACACACAGTATGTTTATGGGCGAGAGAGCCAGAGAGGGAGATTTGCAATTGTTCAAGGTCTCTCGGTCAAGCAGCGCAGCTCCATCAACACACAACTGTTGTGCTGATTATAGAGCGAGAGCAGTCTTCAGTTCAGCCCTGGTGGTGGGGTAATTAGATGCTGTGTGATGAACAGGGTTTCTTGCTCCCTTGTGTGAGTGTGTCTTCTGTTAGCATACATCAGTAACTCATCTGCAGCCTCTGAGCCACGTGTGCCAGAGGTACACTTCGACCGGCTTTAACGCTCGTGTGTGGCGGCGACGGATTCCCGAGCATAAGAAATTTATGCAAAGAATCAGAGATTGAGGTGATGACATATTTATGTAGAACAGAACTTGGGATCAACCATTTTTGAAGTTTGGACATGAAACTTTGAGTACTTCTTTCTCAGCTGGTTTTCTGTAAAGATGTCAATCACCATTAGATAATTCAGTGATATTGATATTCCAGGGATTGGTGCAGAGAAACACAGTAACGAGGTGAACGTGTGAAGTCTGACACCAGAGCGGCGTCAAAGTTACATGGAGGGGAATTGGTCAACGCACAGCGGTTGAAGCTCAAAATAAGAATACGCCAATTAATCGCTTTGTCTGTAAATGTATACTGTACAGCAGCTGTGGGTTGATTTTAACAAGATTGGAGGCTCCAGCCATACCAGCAGCTCTCTGAGGCTGCCACTTAGAATAATAATAACAGATCAGATTTATGTAGCACTTTTCTTACTCAAGGAGTAACTCAAAGCGCATACAATCAACTGTCAATTATTCATTCTGGTGGTGGTAAGCTACGATTGTAGCCACAGCTACAGACTGACAGAGGCGTGGCTGCCATTCTGCCCTTCCGACCATCACCTCACACAAACCATTCACACCAGGCAAGGTGGGTGAAGTGTCTTACCCAAGGACACAACAACCATGACACAGGTTACAGGGCGGAATCGAACCCCCAACCTTCCGATCATTGACCGACCTGCTCTACCACCTGCCCTTAGAATGCAGAATGCTAACTTTAGCTTGCTAATATGATTGCATATACAAGTCAGTATCTTAGTCTAAAATGAACTATGAAAACACCACTAACTGATCAGTATTTCTCTTAGACAACAGCATCATCATCCCAGTGGACCGACGGAGTTTGGTGCATAGCAAGTCAGAGGGAACGTTTTTAGAGCTGTACCTGATTACGGAGCTATTTCATTGTTTCATATGGCTTTGGAGAGTGATATAATCCTAAACTGATCAAAACACGAAAGCCTAATAGCCTACTTGTTAACCTTATAAGATGTGCACTGAGCTTCGGTGTTAACACACGGCTCAACAGGTTTGCATGTGGTTTATTCCATCTCAAATCATCAAATTTTTAAAACTATTTCTGCTCGACCATCCCCAATTTGTCTTCAATTTTAATAGCATAAAATATAAATATGTTTAGACACATTTGTAAAATTTTAGCCTGATGTATGAAACACGTTTTGATATTTAAAATTGCTCATTAACCTGCTTTCAGCACAATTTTTCACACACTGAACTTTGAGGCCATGTTTGAACAACAATATCTTTGGAACTATCCATTCATCCATCCATTATCTATACACCGCTTAATCCTCACTAGGGTTGTGGGGGGCTGGAGTCTATCCCAGCTGACTCAGGGTGAAGGCAGGAGACACCCTGGACAGGTCACCAGTCTATCACAGGGCTACACTTAGAGACAGACAACCAAGCACACTCACATTCACACCTACGGACAATTTAGAATCACCAATTAACCTCAACATGTTTTTGGACTGTGTGGGAGGAAGCCGGAGAACCCGGAGAGAACCCACGTTGCACGGGGAGAACATGCAAACTCCACGCAGAAGGATCCCGGGTGCCCTCACTGGGACGCGAACCGGCGACCTTTCTGCAGCGAGGCAACGGTGTTAACCACCGATCCACCTTGCAGCCCCTCTTTGGAACTAGATGAAAGCTAGAAATTTTCACTGTTAATTTTTTCTCTTTTTTTTTCTCTAATAATGTCATTGATTCACATTCTGCAATATTAGACCCAAGTAATTCAGCAAGTAGACCAAAAAGTCTCTGAATATGGGCAAGTTAATATGACAACTTGTGACAAGTTGTATTTTCATCCTTTGTTTTATTTCTGTGATCATATATTTCAAAAAGCATTCTATATGGTTTGTTTTGTATTATTGTAACTACATGTGATTCAGAGATGTACTCAATAATAGGACTTTTCATGACAGCTTCAATTTGTTCACGTCATAGTTTGATCTAGTTGTCTCATATTGCAGGTTCTGAACCAATGTCCTCATGAGAAATAACAGTGAAAATGTCAGGCTTTTACTGTAAATAATCATTCAAACAGGATAAATTTAAATAAATATCTAGCATTGCCCTTGATATAGCACTCTTAAATTGCACAGATGCTATTTTACATATGTATGTATATTCTATGATTATAAAAGAAGTTTCAAGAATATCAGAGATGGTCAAACAGAAGGTCTCTGATGATTTCAGATGGAAAACCCCACATATTTACTTGCAACTCATAGAAAATCTAGTTAGGAAAAGAACTGGTGACAGTGAAGCACTTCTTACAGCTTATTTAATAGCAAACTCTGAACATAACCTTGTTGGTTGTGCAGGTTTAATTAGGGTGATATAGCTGGTTAAAAGAGAAGCTGGCTTTGGGCACAACATACCTGCTAATCTTGCTAGCACACCTCTCTTGTTAGCGGCTAGTGTAAGTAAGCTAACGTCTCCATTTCTGCATAAAGAAGAAACGAAGGAAGCTGGAGTCCTCATTATTCGTGTTTGAGTGTTTGTTTCGGTTTGGTGTATTATATTTTATCCTACTAATTCACAGGTGGACATATTTTCTTCCCTCCAAGTCCCCAACTACAGACAGAACAAAGGAGCTAGTTAGCCTGTTAGCAACCTCACAAGCTAGCTTACCAAAAAGAGCAACTCGGTCTTTTAAAAACACCAAAGGCAAAAAAGCGTCTGAAGCACCTTTTTTATGGATAACAGAGAGAAAAAAAAGACTCTCACCTGATGAGTGGGTCACTCTCTTTAGACGGTCCCAAGGAATTTCCAAAAGAATTAGTCCACTGGAGCAGAACAGAGGACACTGAAGTATTTTAACTTTGCAGGTTTGAATACAGTGCCAAGGCAAAACTTCTTCCCAGGGACTGTGCTTTCAAGTGAGGTAATTTAATCCGTCATTTCTTTATTTTTTTTTCCTCATCTTTTACAGAAGACTTTTTGAAATGTGTCACATTAAGAAAAGCACAGGTGCAAATAATATTAATTCCATGTAGCTGCTCCGGCGTCAGGGTCACGGTGCTGCACAAGCTGTTCACGTCCTTAATCACATCGGCAACACCTGCTGCTCAGCCAGGCCCAGAAGTTTCTAGAAATTTCACAATTCTCATTTCAAGGACCCCTCTGGCTGATAGCTGATGTGAATTTATTTGGTTTGAAAATTATTTTTTTTTCTCTCTCTCTCTTTAAAAAAAAAAAAAAAAAAAAAACTTATTAGAATAATTGTTTTTAGTTAAATAACCTTGATTTTGCTTTTAACAGAATTAATAATTATCCATCTTCTAAATAAATATACCTTGAAAACTTTTGTACTCTGATGCTTTTGTCCCTCATTTTTAAATTCTTCCTTTCAAATGCTGAATTATATATTATTGTAATCAATTTATTGAAAATAAAAGTTTACAAATCCCTTCACAATAAAAGCACCGGCGTAAGCTTGTTGCATAAACTGGGATTAACTTTCACCAAATTCCTTATGAAAGGCATTTTTAAAAATTGCATGGCCACGTCATGCTAGCAACACCAGATCCCTTTTTTAAAATGATTGTAAGAAAACCATAACTGCAATAAAATAAAATCACCAATCAAATCTGATAAAACTTGAACAGAAAATTTGGTGACTTTGCATCAAAATAAGGTTTAAAAAGTGTTTTCCTGACAAAATATACTTCTGCTAGGCACAGCTTCACGACTACATGCTTTGGCACAACATGACTGGTTTAGCGTTTCCTGGTTCGGCTGCTAAAAAGCAGACGATTGGCTCTTTTTGTGGGTGTGTTTTACATTCAGGATTTTCCAGCTACTACTTTTTACTTTGTGGTGTCCCTTGACCAACAACAACAAAAAAATTACCAATGCAACTGTTTGCGACATCTGTCCAAACCCAAACCAAATGATGATCCCTAGCTGGCTTCCCACCCACGAATGTTGAGAAACATTACTGACGGCAAATCAACTCAGATTTTGGAAGGTAGCTTACTGTTTTTTTTTTCCCCAATCACTTTATATTTTCTAGCTAAATATGCCAGTAAAAGTCTTGTACGTTCAACCTTTTGTCCCTCCATTTGCAAAACTTTCAAAAAAGTCCTTAAAGACGTTCGATTTCAGGTAATTTAATCGCAATTTCATGCTCCAGAAATGTGTCGGTCACTCCATCTGTATTACATAGGGCAGTTTATTGAACTTGTAAATGAGTTAGGAGTCATTATGCATGACTTTAGTTTTTCTACACTCACAAAACCATAAAAGTTTGAACATTTATAATAATAATTTGCTGCTTCAACATTACATTCAAAGCTGTAAATTGTTATAGCTACATTTTTGTTAAAAACACAATATTTACATTAATTGTAATACACAAATTTTTTATATTTGGCATACTTACATTAATCTCATCATATAATTTACAGGTTCTCAAGTACTGATTAATGTGAATATTTAATCTCAAAAATTCACAACAAATCAAAAAGTAAATTAACCATACAAAAAATGAAACATACAAACAATACTAAAGCTACCCACCCCCACCTTCCCACCAAAAAAAAACCAAACAAAAAAAAGTGTTGCACAGAATTTCATCGATGGATATTTTATGCCCGAAAAGAAAATCCTCTATTTTACAAAACAGTGTGAAATCTGCCTGCCACAGAACATTTACTTCACTGCAGCAATACAACAAGACGTGGCCGAGCCGAGCAACTGTTTATAGTGCAGTCAACTCACGTCCATCTTTTTTAATCAAACAGAAAGTAAATCTCGACTGTACAAATATTTGACAATGATTAGTTTGTAAATATTTCTCCCGCAGAATATAAGTCCTCATGCGTTTTAAGGTCACTGCTGACAGTGAAACTCTGTTCCAATTACTGTTTTGTCAAATAAAGAGTTCATCATAACAGTTCTGGTCATAACGCCGATGAGCGAATCGTGTTTGTGCTTGTCTGATCAGTAGATTAGAGATTAGAATTTTTTTTTTTTTGGGTAAAGTCACTTTAAAAACTCTTTCTTAAAAAATGTCTTTTCAACTGAGCATTTCCACGTTTCTTGATTCCAGGTCCCAGTTTAAAGGAAAAAATGAAATTATAATAATAAAAAGAAAACAACTTTACAGGACACTGTTCAGTTTCCTTTGGCACAATACTTTGCTAACCCACCCCCAAAAATCTGGTGTCATGTACATCATGCAGGAGGAATAGGGTGTGTTCGCATAAACGGCAATGGCTCCTGTCAAATTCCACCTGCCTTTGCCCGTGTTTTTGGTCCATGATTTCATAAGTAAGTGGCTGATTTTAGAGAAAGAAGGGCAGTGGAGTGGTTTGTAAAGGCGGTAATTTACCACTGAAAAGCTCTCCAGCTGTCACATTTACATGTGAAGTTAAACAGGCCTCAAAATTGCTGTTATTACTGTGTTAAAGTTTACCAAATTTGTTATATCACTGCATAAAAATGACCAAATATGGTCAGAATTGTAAAATGTGGCAAAAAAATACGAGCATCAGAGCAACTTTTAATTTAAATATCCCACATTTTTGTTAGTATAAGGTAAAAGTTTGACTTTGTCGTACCATTGCTTGCGTGGAAAACACTATGGGAACACACCCTTGTCTACTACACTTCACTGAAATGCATACTCGAGGCCTCTAGCACCTTTTTTAGCCATACAGTATACAAATATACTGAGTTGTTAAAAAAACAAAACAAAACAAAACAAAAAAAAAACGTGCAAGACTCACAGATAAAAGACTCTGTTTCCAATACTTAAGGCAAAAACAATTCTCATATATACCAATATACATATATTTGAGATTATTACATCTATCAAAACTGTGTTTTTCTAGAGTGTTCTGGTAAACATATGTTACGACTGACCGTGGTGACCTATTGTATGTACTAGAGCTAAAAGTGCGGAATGACCAAGTCAAAGTCAATGCAATGCCCTCTAGTAAATACAAAAACAAACTCTCTTTTTCTTTTCAGTTTTGTTTTGACTGCCTGTTAAGTCTATAGGCTTTTATCGGAGCGTAGGTCAGGAATGCTGAACTGATGATCACAAAAAAAGTGAGTGCCGAGTAGAAAAGTGCAAAATACGCCAGTGTGTGTGTGTGTTTTTTGTTTTTTTTTTTCCTCCGCCTCCTTCCGCAAGTAGCCAGCACCTATAGCTGGGACACCTTCCTGGGCAGAGGCCTGGGTCTGGGGACTCGAGGGTCGGCGGTTCCGTCCAGCTTCATGCTGCCTGTGCGGAGCTGGTGAGGCTTGGGCGGCAGGGCCGGCGGGTCCGTCTGCGGGGGGATGGAGAGGCTGTGGGGCAGCGGCACGGGCCTGCGGGGGTTGTTCCTCTCGTAGACGCTGTAGGGGGGCGGCGTCTTGTTCTCCCTGCGGATCGGCTCGTCCGAGCTGCTGGAGACGGAGTTGGGCAGGGTGCTGGGCGGAGGCAGCGTGTGGGGCGGGTGGTCGCCCGTGGGCAGCTCGGTGCCCGAAGCTTCCGACACGCTGCAGCGACTGAGGGAGGAGATGCCGCTGCTGTAGCTGCCGGACAGGACGGGGGAGTTGGAGACCAGGCTGGCAGACTGGCACTCGGTGGGTGAGGGGGTGAAAGGTGGCACAGTGGTCTGAGGAGAGAGAAGGAAGGACATGAAGTCATTTATGTGGAAGCTGTTACACTGTACGCAGCAGGGTTTCACAACCTGGTTTACTCTGAAAACAATACACTCCAAGAGGCTTAACTTTCTGACATGCAGCCATGTTTGAAGTGTCACGTCATTGATGGGAGAACAGAGCACAACTCTGACCAACCACAACCATCAGTGACACTGGGTGGCAACAGACCTTCAACTAGAGAGAAAATACAGTCATTTTCTGCCAAGCATTAAATCACTCATATTAATATGTTTTAAGGCAATAATGACATTTATTTTTAGCAGTTTGTAGGTTCTAGAGTGCAAAGATTTGTTGCTTTTCTTTGTCTTATGGAACAGAAATTCACCATCTTTGTTATCGATTAGAAAAAAACACATTTGAAGATGACTGCTTTTCATGATG